CCGATTCCTGATGAAAGCAAATCATCTTGCAATACTTGATGATTAAACATTGGATTTTGTTTAATTTGACACATTAATTTCCTCAAAGATCTTAAAGAAATTTTCCATGCAGCATCTGTTCTTTGGTTTTCAACACTTTTGAGACTTTATACCTTGCAATGAATGAACTAATGGTAGTAAATAGTATATTTAGGTTGTCCGAGATTTTTCTGTAATTTTTTCCTACTTTCCAGAGTTTAACAATTAGTTCCTTTTGGGAATTTGGGAATTTTTTACCTCTTGCCATGATGAAAACTTTGCATGAATATCAATTACAGAATTTTCTGTTTGTATTTTTTAGGCTAAAAATAACTATTGATAAAATTATTAGAATATTCCACTTGAATAATCTAGAGTATTAAAGCAATTAAAGGAGTTTTAAAATCTGAAATTTGCATTGTATGAATACTTTTTTCACCCATTAAAATGGATAATTATTAAATCAAGTTTTTATGTATCTGTGTACAGTTAATTATATGAAAAGTACGTTTATTCATCAGTTGGAAATACAATTAATTAAAAAATTTGTATGTGTACAAATAGTTGTTTCTCCCCACTGTGTGTGTGTTTATATATATATATCTATATATATATATATATATATTTATTCCTTCTCCATATATATTGTTTTATTACAAGGAAATGAGATATATAGATATATATATATACACTGTCCAGTGTGTTTGTTTTTGCAAGTATGTGTGTATATATTCATTCTCCATATATTATGTATTATATTATTATGAAGAAATCTGTACAGTAACTACATGTGTGTGGTCTGACTAGTGCGTTTTGTCAATATATGGATATGGTGTGTATTTATGTGTGTGGTGTTATTTATTTAGTGCTGGTTTGAATTTGTCTATGAAGCCTTTTTTCTTGTCTGTTTGGTATATTAGCATGATTGCAAATTTACCTTTATTGCATTTGTAGATGTGTTGTGACACAAAGAGTTTTCCGTTGTCTGGTACTTTAATGTTGCTTTTGTGTAAGTAAACTCTGTTGTTTAATTGTCAAGTTATGCCTATACATTGCATTTTGTGCACCTGATTGCATAAATTACATTTGTAACCAATCCAAATGGTTTTATTATCCCATAACCAAAGGGACACTCTTCCACCAGTCCAAGATGATTCTGGATTATTACTACACACAAAAGGCAATGGTTAAAAGATTCAACATAACCAATAATGAATTCCTTTAACTAATATGTGGGAATAACCATTCTTTGCTTGATGAAAGTCACAAGACCCAAAGCATGTGTAGAAGAAATATACAAAATAAAATATATCTAAATCCTCATTATAACCAAAAATGTTTACACCATTCTCTCTTTAATAATATATATATATATATATATATATATATATATATATATATATATATATACACACACACACACACACACGTGACTCTCTCATCGAATTGGATGTATGAGGGTCAAGCAGATCAGTTTCTAGGAAACCAACAGCCAAACACCAGCATATGAGATTTGATTATAGTGGTGAAGGTTTTGTGCAGAACCATCCACACTTTTTGAAGGGCCAGACACAGAGACGTGGTGCACTGCGTGCCACAAGATCCTCAAACAACCCTCTGCATGTTTTGAATTCAGAGTTGTCTTTCTCCTATACCAGTTGCTATCCAAGGCTATAGAACTCAGTCTGTTTTGCTATTTATCCATAGCTGGAGAAAGAAAAAGAGGATTCATACCTTTTCAAAGCTTGTAAGTGAATGTAATGGATTCAACTGGAATTTGAACTTGGCTCTCCGATTCCTTAATCCAAGCTGCTACCCATTACTCCACCATATATTATAGTATCATTTTAGGCATATTACTTTTTATTCAATGCAATGTCTTGATAAGAAATAGATATTGAGAGATTTTTACTTTTACATTTTATATTCAAATCTTCCCATAATCAAAGAATGTCCATGGGTGTATTTTTTTGAAGTGACAATATTTACCATTACCAATTTTGAAGGAAAGGTCTTGATTATCTGAAAATTGATTTTGGAAATGCAATAAGTGATATTACTTTTTCTTGCCGATGGAACCAATAACAATTGTAGAATTTATTAAAACATCCCTTCAGAATCGAAAGTTTTTGAGTAGGGATAAAAAAACAATAAATAAATGTGTGATTTTCTTGAGTAACATCTGCCAAGATAGTGGCAGAATATGTTCTTCACTTAGAAAACTTTAAGAAAAAGAAGCTTTCAGAAAAGATGAGTAAATATTTGTTTAGGAAATAAATTTAGTGTTTTATTTTTTTGCAATCATTTTTCTGAAAGATTAAATTGATATGGCAAAGTTGTTTGTAACCTTCATGGATACCATTGCTTTCTTTCCAGTTTTATAATCAAATAATAATGAGTTAAAAAATTATGGGTTGGGCGTGAAAAACACTTCAAACATCTCTGTTTATGGATCATTTATAACAAATGTAGTAAAGGAGATAAGAAAACTGAACACAGAATATCCAACCCAAGGTATAGCTTTGTTCACAGCATACATTGTATCAAAACAAAGACATCAACTTAAAAACTGAAATCATGTGTTTTAATAGCCTCATCAGCTGTATACAACCATTTTCTCACATCAATGATTAAAAATGACTTTAAGCAAATGATGCATGTAGGTCTTAGAGAGGATCCCCACAAAGACTTTCAACAACAGCAACAACTAAAATGGTTAACAAAAGAAAATAATAAAGATGGTAACATTCCACACTACTTCAAATAACCCCCGGCTCCATCAATACTGGAAAATGTGATAGCAGAATTTCCTGAAAAATTGTTTTAACAGAAAGATTTCACAGATTTCAATTGACAGCAACACTACCTGCATGGTCAATAAATGCATTATTTTCCATATAAGGAAACAGCTAATGTTACCATTACTGAGAAAATCCTTGCACAGTTGTTGGTAGGTTAACACACCTTCCATTTTATCCTTTGCTTATTCTTTAAATAAATAATCTGACATATATCAATTTGCATACCAATTAAGACCAATGATGGACCATTTAATATATATATGTAAGAAGCCTAGAAATTTATCAAGCACAACATATGTATATATAAGAAGCCTAAAAATTTACCAGGCACATGATGACCAATGTATAATATTTAATGTGGCATTTATATTTATAATTGTCATTAACTTATTTAATTTTCTTTTGTAACTGATTAAAATTATTTCAATATAAGTATTTTTTGACACTGAAAAAGAAAATATTAATTTGTTCAATCTGTTTATCTGAAAAATTTAACGTTGTTGCAAAATCTTATTCTTAAAAAATGGCAGTTGACTGTATCCCATATTTTTATTTTAATTGTTATGCAATGTCATGGGTCCTGGTCTGACATCTCGTCTTCAGTCACTTTCTCATCACCATAACATCACTTCTCTTTTTCTTTTTATGCGCCATGTTCTTTCAGGACATAGCTGATCATGGCTCTCCACAAGTTCCTTCCCTCTGCTTCTGCCCCCAGACCATGGTCTATCATCCACTTGCTTAAGCGCATCAGGTATGTCACTCATTGTATTCCCTTGTCTTCCTTACCCTCTATTCGACCGGTGAGTATCAGATTCTCCAGGCTCTCTTTCCTCATTATATGTCCCAGAAACTTCAGTTGCCTCTTCCTGATATTAAGCATAAGGCTTCTCCTTGTTTGCAACCTCATCATTGCTCACATGCTTGGGCCATGATATCCTTAGCATCCTTCTGTAGAACCACATCTCAGTCGCCTCAAGTTTCTTAATCATCTTTGAGGAAATGGTCCAACATTCAGATCTCAGTGTCACTGTCAAGATGCTTCCCAGATATTTAAACTTCCATGTCTGCTTGTTTTTAGTGTTCCTGACTTGCAAATCGTATTTTGGGCACTTCTCTATACCTTTTTCTATAAATATTTTCATGGTAAATGTTTTGATGAGCTTTCCTCTTCGGTACTTTGACTCTACAAATTTAAGTGCAGCATTAGATTGGCAGCTAGATTTCATCATTTTCTGGTGCAGCAGTAAATTCTATGTTAACAGTTTCTTTTCTCACACTTCTCACCTGTGAAACTCTTCCGGATTCTTGCTTTCCAGCCGATGTTGATCTTCAGCTAAGTGCAATGTCAATTGTTATCTTCTGTCTTCTTAATTCCTGTTCTTTTATTTTTCTCTCTCCTTAATAATGTTTTCTTTTACTCATATTTTTTCATGTCCAGTAACCCCTTGCATCTTAGTGACTTTATGATTAATCATTAAAAAGATTTAAAAAAAAGGAGTTATTTCACCAAAGAATTACTCCTTGAAGAAAATATAATCAAGTATTGCATTTTCGATATTCCCTGCAATATCAGAGCAAAATTAGCTTCACTCTGAAAGTAAGCTTTGAGGAACACTAAAATACTGCAGTTCATGAAGACAATTAAAATTAGTTATTGCTAACCATGCATGGAAAGAAAGGGGTCACATCAACCTTTATCGAAAGTAGTCACAATAATTCTGAAGGCGCAACATTGGAAAGGACGAACAGTGAAAGAATCTGCAAATGCATTCTTCTCATATCACTTACCAGTAGATCAAGTATTGACATTAATAACTTCTTGGAACCATTAATCAAGAGGAACTAAGCAAGGAATAGAGGCATGGCAAGAGATGGAAGTGCAGTCAAAGTTCAATGGGTACAGCAGAAGGTCATGGTCTTGACACGGAGGTCAGAAGTAGACAATCCCAAGAATATATAAACACAGACGCCAGATGTGACATGTATGAGAGAGAGAGAGGAAGTCAATGCACTTTCCGAGAAAGATTTAATGATGTTCCAGAACACAGATATCTGTTATGTTCTGGAACATCATTAAATCTTGAATGCTTGAGGTGACAAGGAATAAAGTTTATGTAAGAAAAGAAACTTAGTCAAAATCAAGCATATATTCTGAATAACTCACCTAATTTAATGGCTTACAGCCACATCATGGTGAAACACGAGTTCCTGTATGATCCCCAGAGTTAAGCAACATTGAGCCTGGTCAGTGCTTAGATGGGTGACTGCTTGGAAATATTAGATGCTGTAATCTTGGATATGCAGGCAGTGTAATGGATAATGGTTTGAAATTGTTAATTTTTTTTCTTGACCCTTATCATAGTAATATAATTTGAGGCATGACAAGTTGTTACTTTCAGGTATGAAATAAAAGAGAAGTCATAATAAATGCAGAAAACTGAAAAAATCCCCCCCCCAAATTTTAATAAGTGCATTTAATAAACTGTGGGGGTAATTAGAAGAGCTTATATATGGAGGTTTCACTAAGTGAACTGATTGAGGACTGATAAAATTATAGACTTTGAAGTTATAAAGCTAAAAATTTTGTGAAATACATATTTGATGCTTTGGCATACAACATCGGTGATGTTTTTAACCAAGGTTTATTAGGACTTTTGGGTTTTTCAACATAATACTTTCTGTTCATAGGAACTGTGTTGATGCTGATTGGGTATCGACCTTTGAACCATCCCTAAGCTACAATTTTTCTCATATTAAGTCTAATGCACTGTGACTCCTCTGGCATTTTGCAGTTCAATCATGGATGGTTTCTGGTTCTCCAGCTTCTATGCACTTCCATTAAAAAAAGGAAGCAAATGCAGTAACCATTTAGCTCTAGTAAGAAATATGGCAACACAAGTGGTAACAATCATTCATTTCACTCCTCCACACACACACACATATATATATATATATATCTGTAAAAATTCCAGATAGAGTATATCTATAAAAGGATGTTATGAATAAAGACAAAAGAAATACTTACCTTAGTCAATGCATTTCATCCTTTGTGGGACTTTATCAAGACAAATACAAGTATTTTCTTTTGTAACAAGTATTTATATAGGAGGAAAAAATGTTACTGATTTTTCAAAATTTTTGAGTTTAGTAACATTCATAAATATTCATCAGGTGAACTAGAATGTCAGGTAAGCTATGGAGGACATGAAGTGTATAAGTTCCTAAACACAAAATTGTTGCTCTTGTATCTAAATACATGTTATAAGTAAAATTGTTGCATTTGCCTTGACAAAGTCCCACAGAGGATGAAATGCAGAAATGCATTGGCTAAGATAAGTCTTCTGTTTACATATATATATATATATATATATATATATAAACAGCTCTATCCACTCTTATTCTGTTTTCATTCATGTTAATCATTTAAAAAAAAAAAAAAAGAATCACCCTCCCATATGTGTCTATGGTATATAAAAAAAAGGATTCCTGATGAGAAGGCAAACAGATGCTTAGATCTTAACCAAAGATCTACAGTAGGTAATAATATTTTGGGTTATCATAATTCTGTCTCTCAGTCAATACTCCATTGTCAGATGTAGTTTTAAGTCATACTGCAAATAAATATCTATCAACATCTTTAAGATACTTTAAGAAAATTGAAAATATTTCCATGAAGTTTTGCCATTGTTACAATATATGAAAATGTCCATCAGTGACCAAATTAACAATATATTGAGAAACAGTCTAGAACCAAAAATAAACCAAAAATAATTCAATAAAAGAAAGATTGCAGTGTAATGGTTTCCCATTACAGTAAATTCCAAAAGAAAATTTTCCAGCAATCTGTAAAGTAGTGTTAATTAATTCTGAATTTCATTGAATTAATTACACTAATTATTCTAATTAATAACTCATTTACTAATCATTAGTTATTTGTGGAGGTATTTCCACAAAACACAGAATAGAGACAAAGTAAATGGTTATTTAAATTTATTATATAGACAAATCAAAATTTAAATGCATTCATTTTCATTGGGTTTTAAAAAAAATAAAGTAAGTCACAAAATTCAAGTCATAATCAAGTTGCTGCAAGAGTAATGTCCGATTTTTGAGAAGAAAGTATTTACTAAATTTGTGATGCTTGTTACAGTGAAGGAATGTCACAATAGGCAATTTATACCTTTCTTTTTCAGATTATAAAAATATTTCTCATGATCTTCTGCAATATTTGCAACCATATTCATTCCATTGCAAGTGTAGTAGTTAGTCCATTCAGAGCACTTATGGAGATGATGCAGCGAATGACAAAAATTGCAGGAAGTGGTTTTCCTGTTTCTAAAATCGGGATTTCATTTGAAAGATGAGGAAAAAGAGGGTTGTCCAAAAAAAAAAAAAAAAAAAAAAAAAAAGAGTTGGGAGCTGTTGTTACAGACCATCCCACCATTACCTCTAGGGGACTTGCAGAACAATTTGATGTAGACCATGCAACTGTGCTACACCAATTAAAAAAGACCAGAAAGGTTTCAATGATTGGGAAATGGGTCCCAAACAAAATGTCTCCACAGAATCTGCAACAGCCTGTTGCTTGTTGTGAATCATTGCTTTTATGACACCTTCATACATCATTTTTAGGTTGGCTTGTTACAGGTGATGAGAAGTGGATCCTTTATCAATGTTAAACACTTCCGATCATGGATCAGTCAAGGAGGAAGATCAGTTTAACAACAAAGAGGTGAATTTCATCCAAAGAAGTTCATATTGAGTATATGGTGGAATATTGGAGGAATTGTCCATTATGAACTGTTAAACAACAATCAAACAATTACAGCTAATCTTTCCTGTAATCAACTCCATCATTTGAAAACGGTTTTGAACCAAAAGTGACCTTCTTTAGTGAACAAAAAGGGTGTCATCATTCATTGTAATAATTATCGTCCTCACACAGCTCAGCTAACTAAAAATCTTTTGGAAGAGCTTGGTTGATAAATATAGCTTTATCCACCATATTTCCCTGACCATACTCCTTCTGATTATCATTTGTTTCGGAGACTAAAGAATCTTTTGGATGATCTTAAGTTGACATCAAGAGAAGAGGTTGAAAATGAGTCGGATTCATATTTTGCTTCAAAACCTAAGGAATTTGACTGGCATGGCATTTATAAGCTTGTTGACAGATGGAATGATGTTCTAACGAAGAAATATTTTTGTAATTATGTGCTTTTTCATTTTTAATATAGACCTTGAAATCAGCTTACTTCAGCACCAACATGAAGATTCATAAAAAAAGGAGATAGTAAATTTTTACTGAGCTAAAAATTGTTAGGATCTACCATTATTTAAAAGGAACTTTTACTGCCTAACAAACAGTAAAATCATTTGTAATAGTAACCAATTTCTTACTTGGCAAGTGATGTAATGGAATAACTAGTCACCCCCATGAATGATTACACTATACTTGCTATCTGTAAAGTCAACTATCTACGAGAGACTTGGAGAAGAGCAGTGTGAGAGTGAGACGATGCAAGCACATCTGACCTTCCAATTAGTGGCACTCTCTATTAGATTGACCTGTGCATATAATTGTACCATATTTCCTATTGTACTTGTTGTGTACAATAACCTTTCTTTTCGTATCCACCTGGTGTTATGTGTTTATTCCCTTAGCATGGAACATAACAGTAAGTAAACCAATAACACTCATCAACAAAGTTACTTTCAAAAAGCATCTGAATAAGTAAAATAAGACAAATCTCAATCATAATTTGCTTATTTATTAATTCCAATCTGATTTCTAGATGACAAAACAATGTTGTGAGCATCTCAGACAAGTATTTCTTACATAAACCATTACATACTTTCACAAATCTCAGTTGTCAGCAATGTGGGCAAAGTTTTCCGTCTACTTATACAGTGACAGATTTATTTTCCTCTTTTCATTGAGAGCTCTTCTCATTTTTTGTTTCTTTTTCTAGGTCCTCATTTTCTGTCTGTCAATCCTAGCTATGATTAGTCTGCAGGGAAAAACTAAAGAAAGTCATCCAGTAATCACTGACAGCAATATAAGAACTTTCAGAATACCAATGTTGGTATCACTGACAGAAAAAAAAATAATTTGGAAACTGGCCCAATATTTCCACAGATAAACTCAATGGAAACAAGTATTGGCCAAGTTTCATAAAGTAAATCTGTGTAGAATGATTTTACTATAAGAGTCACTCAAACTGTATTGCTGGCTTCTATCTTTCCATTTCTCTTTATCCAATCTGTTTAAATAGATGGTTCTTCAGAATACCGTTTTCAAAACTGCTGTTTTTTATCTTAGTTTTTTCATTACTGTCTCCAGAACCATATATGACTAAATTCCAATTTCCAAGTCATCTGTTTGATACGATTTCAGAAAATTTCCCATAATATCAGTCCTAATTATTTTAAGTTACCAAAGTTTTCCTAATTTTAACTAATTTCAATCAACTTTATGAAAAATTCATTGTTCGTTACTCCATGTTGTCAATGTGCACATGACATGCTAAGTAAACATTTCTAAATTGTTACACATGTTGGATGTTTTATTTTGAAAGTAATATTACCATAGCAATAAGAAATATATACTGTCTTGAAATACAACCATAGGAACAGGAAATATATATTATCTTGAAAGTAATACAACTACAGCAACAAAATTAAGAATATATATTTGCTGGATTCAATCAGCAAGTAAATTCTATAAATTTATTTTCAAAGATCATTTAAGACTTGAACATAAAGGATTTTGTAATGAGATGTGATGAATAACCCTTTTTACAACTCTTGAATTATTTATACCCAGAAACATTATTTCCAGTCTCATGTGAGTCAGGATAAATAATGTCCCAAGGTTTACATTGTCAACTGTTTGATAGAATAATTCAATACTCTATTTAGCAATAAGAAAAAAAATGCTTACAGAATTATGAGTATTTTGTTGTAATAATGTTATAAATCGTTCCTAGTGGTTATTATGTCTTGATTAGGTTACTCACCCTGATACTCTAATGGACTTCCCTTCACTCGAAGTTCTTTATTTAAGGCAACTTACCTAGTTCATTTGTGTTACCAGGGTGTCTTATTTACTCTACAACAAATAATTACACATGAAAGAAAAGTAATTTAATCATTAAATGCTCATAGAAATTGTTACTTTTATTTTTTGGAATGATAAGTTTCTTATATAAAGTGAATTTATTTTAGTGTGTTACAGAAGGTAAAACATTTTATGTTCTTTCTCTGATGATCAGAATGGAAAGAGAGCCTT